ATCCTATGTTTATATGAATATGAACTCATATGAGAATTGACATGAACTACGTGATTACATGTATATGTGAATGAAACCATGAGCTTATATGAATATATGATATGGTTACATGAATATGTAAAAGGATATAAAAGATATTGCCCATGTTATGTGTCATGAGAGCTAGGGGTATAGTTGGCATGCCAAGAGTCAAGGGTCTATGTGGTCCTTCGGGACATATATGTATTCTTTGGAACATGTGTGAAGTCTGGTGAGACACATACTTGATCCTTGGCATATGTATATGATTCTTAAGGAATGATATGTGGTCTTTCGGGACATATATGTATTCTTTGGAACATGTGTGAAGTCTGGTGAGATACATACTTGATCCTTGGCATATGTATATGATTCTTAAGGAATGATATGTGGTCTTTCGGGACATATATGTATTCTCTGGAACATGTGTGAAGTCTAGTGAGACACATACTTGATCCCTAGTATATGTATATGATTCTTAAGGAATGATATGTGGTCCTTATGGACAGTATTATATGGCACTACGGTGCAATTCTACGCGGCACTCCGGTGCAATTCTACGTGGCACTTCGGTGCAATTATATGAGCTGTGGTGACAACATTAGTGCACAACCTCTATATACTCGCATATCTTTAGTTCTCACATGAGTATCATGGGCTATTAAATAGATAATATTAATAAATTGATATGATAATATGTTTGTTTCCTTATGGAATTTCATGTGTTATATTGATTGTACAAATGGTAACTTATAAGACCATATGATGAAAGGAATCAATGATAGTGATAAAATAAGAAAGAAATGAAGATGATAATATAATTGCTTGGGTGTACGTGTTTTATGATAATATATATATATGGTTTATATGACATGGTATGTATATGTGCAATTGGTTATGGTATATGTTATATGATATGGACATAAGAGATCATAGGAACATGAGATAAGAGATATGAATGATAATGACATATATGTATGCAAATATATATATTTGTTACATGTAAAAGTATGAGTGGTATGAAATGATAGTAAGAATTGTTTAGGTATGATTATTAGTTACCGTTTACCTTATATGTTTATATGCCTCACTAAGTCTTTGACTTAGCGTGTAAGTGATTTACACGTAGGTTTCGAGAAGAGGAAAGAGCAATTTGGAGCAAGACAGGTCAGTTCTCCTTACTAAAGGTCAGATCAGAAAAGATGTGAATAATATGTATTTTAGTATATAAAGTTCTAGTTGGCATGTTTTCAAAAGAATATATTGTTTAAGCTATGAACAGTTTTATAAATGTTTCGAATAGTTATATGTAAATAATAAGTGAAAGATACATGATCTGATTGGTTTTGTAATAATGAAAATGTCTTTTATGTAAATTAGTCATTTATATATTATAAAAGTTTTAAATTACTCACTATTTTATACAAGTACATGTTTTAAATGGTCAATGTGACACCTCGGATTCGTATCCGGGTCGGATACGGGTTGGGGTGTTACATAAACTGTTATTCTCCCAAAAAATTAAAAAATAGGTAAAAGAATACAAAAGGAGAAGGACCAATATAGACCAAACGTGAAAACACGCTAAACCCCCTTGGCAAAACGACGTAGTTTCACGTTCAACATATAAACCCAAAATTGGGCCAAAATTAACATCTTTCACTCATTTTTTTCTTGAGCTCGAAAAAGAGAGAGAGATAAATTCTCTCATTTTCTCCTCTCATTCTCTTCTCTGTTGTGGAGAAGCAAACGGAATCCACGACCATCGTAAAGCGGCGACGATGACGTGGGAAACCGAGACCTAAACCACCCTTGGTCTCCTCCAAAAGAACCCGAGTCCCTCACCCTTTAGAAAACCAGATCATAGGAAGCTAGAAGGTTTTACCTTCGATGGTGGTTCCTTCTAACTCCGACGGAGGCACAATGATCAAATCTCTCCCCAAATAGTAAGATTTCTCTCGTTTTCTTTCTTTCTAATGTATTTTCGTTCATTTTTTCACTGAAAATCCTCCCCTTTTCGAATGGGTATTCCCCTCTTTCTTTTTTTCCCCATATGAATGCTTCATTTGATTTATATTCCTCTTTTATGCGAGATGATGATACCTAGTGTAGGGCAATTATTTTTCTATTTTGGGTGGTTGAAAATCCATGATTTTCGGTATTTTTAGGTGTTATTTTAATAGGGTTTTGATTTTGGTAGATTTGATCTTATTTGGGTATTTTCAGGCTACTGTGGATGACGACAACGGCGACGGGATGTTCGACGGCAGCATACGCGACTGGAGGAGGAGCAGTGAGGCTTACGCACCGGTGGGAAGATGTTGATGGCGGTGGCTGCTGAGGAATTAGGGTTTAAAAACCCTAATTTATTTTGGGTAGAATCTTGGGCAGATTCGGGTTGGGTTACTAGGTCATCGAGTCAGGTCCTGGGTCTACTACTAGGTTGTTGGGCTATTGGCTTTGGGTTGTATTGATATAATATGCTGGGCCAACTTGTAATGGGCTTGAGTTAGTGCAATGGGTTGGCCTACAAACAAAATGTAAATATTATTATTATTATTATTATTATTATTATTATTTATATAAATAATTAAAAAAATTCGGATAAAAACGGGTGTCTACAGCTGGAATTATTTTGTATAAATGGTATATAATAATTTATTTGTTTAATCATTGTGGTTAAAGATTTTCCAACAAATGATCAAATATAATGAAATCTCAAACAACGTCTTCACCTCTCAGTCTCTTTCGCTAACATGCACTCTCGTTTGGCTTTTCTTCTTCAGTTTTCTGCCATGTAAAATTGTAAACCCAAGTCGTGCTCTGTCTTTCAGCTTTTTATTTACAAAGAAAAAATGGAGTAAGAATTGCTGAAACGCAACATCGATTGCGTTTATTTCTTACCCTCTCCCCTCACTTGCAAGAAGGTATTTATTCTCTTTTGGGCTATCCAGAAATAAGTTTTTCCTCTTTCGCACTTTCCCATTTTCAGCTCGCGTTATGTGTTTTATGTTTCTGGAACTGCATGTCAAGGATCTAGATATTCAGTGTTAGTTTTGAACCAAAACCATCTAATTTTCTTTCTTTGTTCTTAATCAAAACTTTTAGTACTCCTTATGAAAGATATTCAGTCCATCAGAATAGAAGTGAAAGAGGGTCCTAGGCTAAATTTTTTTTTATCTTCTTGTTTGGTTTTTCTTTAAATCGGGGAATTGGTTGTGAGTATCGACATAGTGAAATCTCCAGGCTCAATCCGAGAGACTGCTGGTACTAGTTTACTGGAATTATATTGATCCAACTTACGGTTTTCGACGTCCTGTGAGCTCGTATTCTTTTTAATAAGTTCATGTTGATTATGGGACTGATATATCGTGAATGAATTGGATTTTTACATGTTTTGGAAATTTTACAGTTGAATATGTATTGAATTATAGCTTTAGAAGATAATTTTTGCATGCACGCAACTCGAAAGACATCATGACATGATAGTATATTTGGAGCAGCTACTTGATATGTTGACTGGTCATTGCACATTTGCACCTTCATTTCTGGCATATATATGTTTGTTGCAGTGTCATCTATGTTTTACAATGTCTTTTATTGCTGACATGCCATGAATTTACAAGAATTATGAGGTCCTATGATTTTAGTTCCGCTATTTGTTTTAGATTCTCATCATGTTTGGCTATTGAGGAACATTAAACATGGAGCATTAGAAGCAATTATATGTTAAAAGGGTAGGCCATTAATGCATTTGCAACTGGTAATGTTGTATGTGGCATCTAATGTCTATCTTAAACAACCCATTTGACGTCTTAGCTTTTGGAGTGACTATGACCGAACCTCTTTCCCTTTATTTATTAAACCATCATTTTGAATGAGTTATTAATTGATATTCTTGGTTTATTTTAGTTATTGTTTGGTTGTCTGTTGTAGTCTTATGAACTAAAACTCTTTACTATTTTCGCAGCCGTTGGATGTGCATGCTCAAGTTCCATCCAAACCTATTGGATTGTCATACCAAAGTGCAACAGCTACGAACAAGACAAATTGGCCTTGTTACTTTTACTTCAACGGTTTATGCAATAAACATGATAGGTGCACTTTTCATGTTCAAATTAAGGCAGCCGTTGGATGTGCATGCAACAAAACTCAAATTTATATTGAATTAAACACTGTCAAATAGCAAATTCATGTTCAAAATTCCAAAACACTTCGATTACATTTTAAACCCTAAATTCTAAAATACTTTAATTATATTCTAAACCCTAAATTAAAGTATTTTTAAAATTTAGAGTTTAAAATGTAATTGAATTATTTTGAAATTTGGGGTTTAGAATGAAATTGAGGACTGTGTTACAAGTTTTAAAAGTTGTGGGACCTAAATGCAAGCACCTAAAAAGTTCAAAAACCATATTGCAAACGGACTAAATATTGGAGGACTGCCACATCATATTCTTCTAACAGCAGTGTAACGGCATCAAACGGCCAGTTATGTCAGAGACCATATTATAAACAGACTAAATGTTGAAGGACTGTATTGTAAGTTTTAAAAGTTAGGGAACCTAAATGCAAACTTCAGAAAATTCAATGACCATTACTATACTTTACCCATAAAAATTATAAAAAATAAATTACCTTCAATTTAAAATTGTAAATATTAATTATTTAATTTAACAATTCAACAAATTTTACAATGTAAATACAGTTATCGGGACTTAAACCCAGGTCTCTTGGATGAGAGCCCAGTATCCTAACCAACTAGACTACAACGGAATAAGAATATTGATGTGTAATTAGTTTATTCGTACATATATATGTAATTAACAATTAGCTTCAATCCCCCTCCTTGACTTAAAGCTAAAAATTTAATCATATAGCTTACAAAGGTTTTAGCATACATACTATGTACAAGAATAACTCCATACCCAAATAACATGGTTCTAAAGTACAAGGTACTAAACTGTAAACAAACATCACAATAGCACATAAAATATATGTTTCATTGTTTTCAACTTTTATCTCAAATTTTACTCCGAGGTCTGTGACCGAGTATCCTCGGTGCCCATGCAATCATTGCAAATCGAAACACCATCTACATACATACTTTATAATGAAATAGTCCACATCGAATTCACAAACGTTAACCATAGATATTCATGATCAGCTACAGATTGCAAGAATATTCAGTAGCGGTACTTAGTAGAGTAATCTTTTGGAGCAATCACCAGACCACGACCTTTCCTTGCCCCACGGTATACGGTCTCAATAATGTCTATGAACTCCTGTTTGTCCTTCAGAGCCCAGTTGATCTTGTTGTTATTACCAGTGCCAAGATCAATCATAATGTGCTTGTTTCTGAAAAAGAACATGACAGTTGATGGATCATACAGCTCATACATTGTGTTAAAATCAGGCACTTCTGTTATGTCTACAAGATAAATCACAGCAAAGTTCTTTATCGTTTCAGCAACAGAAGCAAGCACCTCATCCATCTGAAAATGAAAATATTTGACTGCAAGTGTGAGTATAACAAAAGCAAATCGATATTGAACAAATACCGACATAAAATGATGTTTCCAGAGATGCAGAATGTGATAATAAAAAAATCAAAGTCCATGCACTTACACCACCTCCCCAAAAAAAAAGCAACAACCTCTAAAAATCCATTTAAACCAAGCCGCTAAATATAACTACGATCCATGTAAGGTACCAAGTTCAGTCTTTGAGGTCAACGAAATAAAGAGAAAGGTAATTCTTACTCCATTGTAATCCAATTTCTGTAAGAGGTGGAACTTTTTAGTTTGTTAATCAGAACAAAGCTCCAGAATATCAAAACAGTAAGTCATTATCATAAACTCTAACTTTGCTTTTCAGTTACATGAAGAAGATTTCTAACTTCCTAGTCGGCTAAACACTTCAAAAATAGAAGAAGCAAGTCATTATCAAAAGCTCAATCAATATTTTATTTTGCTCACTCGAAAAAGATTCTAACTTCCTACTCAGCTTAAGCATTGCCTCAGGGAGAAGACGGCAGTTGAAATTTACAAAATGATTCATACGGCATTGAAATTTAAGACTTGCAAGTAATTTATAAGAAATCAAAACCAGTCAAGAATATCAGAAAGCAATCTAATTGACATCAGACATTTTACTGAATAGAACTCTTAAAATAGATTAGCTAACTAATACCTAATCACAACTTCATCTGACTTATAAAACAAAACCTGACACCTTTTATTTTCCCCTTTTTAGAAGTTGTTTCAATTAAATGAACACTTCAGATTTCCAACAGGACGTTGCCTTCATATTTCAATCGTACTCTTTTTCAAATTTGATAAAAACAATTCTTCAAATCTACAGTGAACTTAGGATATTAACGAATTCTTTTCCTGTTCTAGTGACGAAATATGAAATAAATTCTATGAACATCAAAATCCAGGAAGGGCCGGAAACAATTATCCTGAACAATATAAAAGTAATAAAGCATTTGAGATAGAAATAGAAAGGGGAGAACGAAGAAGGTTACCTGCATGCAAGTCTCGTCCCAGTCGTGGCCGAATCGAATGACGACGAGACGCTCTTCTTCAGCCAGGATGGCCTGATCTACGGCCCAGCCTGAGTGAAGATGGGGTAGTAGATACGACATGGTGGGATCGTTAATCCCCCTTGTAGCCTAAATTTCCTTCTTCGCTGATGAAGAAATTGATTTTGCCCTCTCAAATCTGGATATCAAACCCTAATTTCGAAAACCTGAACGCTTTGAAACGTCGAGTAGTTTATATATAGACAATGCGTGGCCACTTGCAAGGCCGTATACGCCGGCGCTAAATCGATAGCGAAACGCAGCGTTTATCTGGGGATGGAAATGCATGAAGTTTTGTAGTTTAATTTTTGTGATAAAGCAACATTTTGATCCCTCATGTATCAACTTTTTCTAAACTGGTCCTTCATTTTTTTTAAAATCTCATTAAATCCCCAAAATTTTCAATTTTAATTTATAGTGGATTAATGTCAATCCACAATTCTAATAGATATTAAAGAAGGTTTCTGTTTTTTGTGCTATTCTTTTATTTTACTTCAATGTGGTGACTAGAGATATTACTCTAATTATGATTGATGTTAAATCTAAGTTCGATTATATTAAATTTATTAAATATGAATATATTTTTAAATGTGTGATTTCAAATTTTTATTCTAATAATAATCTTAAATCTCATGAATCTTTAACTCTAAATCTTTAAATTTCATATACAATCATGAATCAATCACGGCCAGTTATCTCTTTATGTTGTCATACTTTCATCAATCGATCTATCCCTTGTTGTCGCATGTGATTGCTCGAAATCGCATGACGTAACACATTGTTCCTAAATTATTTCACACAAATTTTTTTTTTACCAAATTTGTTCGTCTTCATTTGTGAGACTATATTGTCGTTCGAACCTCTGATCGTCACTCGCCGCCTGAACTTTAATCTTTAAAGTGATTTGAAGATTTAGGGTCAAGAGATTAGAGATTTGAGATTGAAAAATTACAAATTTTAGGTTTTTTAATTTATAAATTGTGTATTTTTTATAAAATTAATATTAATAAAAATTAATGATATGTATCAAACAACTATTAATTAATGAATGTTTTAATGGTTTTTAATGGAAGGATTTTAAAATAGTAACAAAATTAAACTTCGGGTACATTAAATGATAATTTTGAAAATATTAGACATCTAGTTTAACCCAAAAAAAATACTTTAGGCACTTAAAGGAAATAAAAGGTATAGTTCGAACACTTATTTTTCAATCGAATTAAACTTATAAGAATATTTTTCAAAAGTCATTAAATCACTCAAATGACCTTTGTCTCGAATTATGCTCTTCCTTTATCAAGGTCAACCTCTCCACCATTCCAATCTTTGAACGAAGCCCTTGATATTCAAGAAATCCAAAACATAAAATGAGCTTTTATTTTGATATTTGAGTGACTTGATAGAACTTTTCAAAATTGAGTGATTCATTTGCAATTTTATTAATAATTGTATGATTCATTTGTAATTTAATTATTAACAATGTAATATTTAACAATATAAACACCGTAATTGCTTGAACCTAAAGAGTTACACTTTCGTTGACTATTGAGGTCACTCGATTAATGTTTAACATTCGTTTCATTTCTAACGATCCAATGACCTGATTATGATAATCAATCGATAGAATAATTTTTAAAGTTCGATGATCTATTTTTTTACTAATAATTGTGTGAGATGCTGTGTAAAATAAAAAAGTCAAACGACTCGTGAAGAACCGTAGGGTAGCAAACCTTAGGCGACCATAGCCATTGTAATCCCAATATCCTATCCAGTCTCGCCTGTCACCAAACTCTGCTCTTTCTTAACAGTCAAATAACAATCCCTTCAACGCCAATTCAAGCTTTCTTCTTTTTCTTCCCCATCGAATTCTCTATCTCTCAATGGAGACGCTAGCTTCTTCCTTATGTACAACAACTCATTGCGGCGGAGCCGCCGTCTCTGTTCTCGGGTCCCCCCTGCAACGGCTCAAGACCCAAGCTCTTCCTGGTTCAAAGAAAAAGCAGAGCTTTGGAGTCATAAAAGCTTCTCCTGCTAAGACCGAAGTTGCACTTCTAAGAATTGGCACTAGAGGAAGGTACATTCTTTGACTTTTTCCCCTGACATTTGCTTTTGAGTTATTGAACTATAATGCTGGAAAGTGATCTTTATTCTTCTAATTTGTTAACTATACATGGATGGTTACTCTGGGTTTAGTTTGTTTTCTAGAACCCAGGTTTGGTTTTGTCTAATTTTGGTGAATTACTAATCTAGTTTCTGTTGTGTTTGTAGTTTTGTATATGCATATTTGCTCCTAAAGTCAATTCAATTCACTTTATCATTCATTGATGTTTTGTTATTGAATATTTATTAGCTTCAGTTGATTTCAAAATACTTGCTTTGTCTCTTAGTCAGTCAAGTTAAGTGATGGTCTTGTTTCATTTGGCATAAAAAAAAAGTATCACTTTAAGATTCATTTCTAGGCAAAAGAATAGGAGACTTTCTTTTTTCTTGTTGTTTGCCTTTGGTATCTTGGTTAGAAATGCTAATGAATTTACAAAGTTTAATTCTACGTGAGAAAGGAAAAGAAAGTGGTGATAGTTTATTTACTATTCTTTTCTCACTTCTTTTCGCTGGTATTGGTGAACATGTCCCTCGCACTTGTGTATTGTCAGCCGTGTCTGCGATCATGGTTCGTGGTAATGAATGAGATGTTTTCTAACCCTTTTTAGCCTCTTCTCACAGCCTATAAATAGAGAGCATTTCTGCTCATTTTCAATCATCCAAGACATTTTCTCTTTACACACTACTCTCTAAAGTATTATTCGAGTTCTCCCTTTTTCTTTAAAGTTTCAAAAAGGGTAATACAACCGGTTTCTACTTCAGTTTTTGAGTGTATAAATTCTGAAGTTAAAGCAGTATCCATCTCGAGAATTACAATAATCAGGATGATTTTGTTTCTAAGGCAGTGATTCATCCACGACACGGTCAAACTTTATTTAATCTTTCGATTATATTAATTTTCGGTTGCTAACATTTCATTTTGCAGGAGTATTAGTTCTATAATATTTCCAACAATCTTCAATTTCTTCTCGTTATTTATATTCTTTCCATGTGTAGGACAGCCCGTTAGCACTTGCTCAAGCTCATGAGACGCGGGACAAGCTCATGGCTTCTCATCCGGAGTTAACCGAAGAAGGGGCTATTGAGATTGTCGTAATAAAGACGACTGGTGATAAAATATTGAGTCGGCCACTTGCTGATATTGGTGGGAAGGGTTTGTTCACAAAAGAAATAGACGATGCTTTAATAAATGGTGATATAGACATTGCTGTCCACTCGATGAAGGACGTTCCTACTTATTTACCGGAGAAGACAATTCTTCCTTGCAACCTTAAGCGTGAGGATGTTCGCGATGCATTTATTTCCTTGAGCGCGTCTTCGTTGGCTGAGCTTCCTGCCGGGAGTGTCGTTGGTACTGCATCACTTAGAAGAAAGTCACAAATACTACACAGATATCCGTCGCTCGAGGTAGGTTGCTTTGCTTATGTTAACTCATATATGGATGATCTTATATTCGATGTCTGGCAGTTGACTTGAAATGTAAGATACTGAATAGAGCATGATGTCTTCAAATGCAAACATACGAAATTACTTTTTTATTCCGAATTAGTTACTAGCATCGGCGTCATTTTGTAGGTGGAGGATAATTTCCGGGGCAATGTACAAACACGATTAAGAAAACTTAATAAAGGGGTGGTTCAGGCAAATTTGTTGGCATTAGCCGGACTCAGACGCTTAAGCATGACAGAAAATGTTACTGCTACTCTTTCGATAGATTAAATGCTTCCGGCTGTTGCACAGGGAGCTATCGGAATCTCTTGGTGTATTTTTTTTCCACCCCCGATTCCCTCTCCCTTCTCTCTGGGTTGGAAGTTTAGGTGGCCGCACCACCGTCATCACCGTCGTCAGTAGCCGTGCCGGCCGCCACCTTCGGTGGCCGTTGACCACCTAATCTTCTAGATCTGCTCTCCTCGACGCCAGCAACAAGGTTATAGGCTCCGGTTCACGAGGGAGAGCCTACTTCATAGTGGATCTACGCCGACGCCCACCGCATAGGCTGCCGTCACCGGTGGCAGTTGAGGCATAAACTACCTTGGTTGACTCGCTCCGACAACGATAATGCAGATCTGAGCTTGGATTCGCTAGAAAAGGCCCCCATCTAAACAAAAACGACCTACATCTTCTCGGCTTCAAATGTTCAGATCTCTTTCGGTAGACGTTGAATCTGCTCGGATCCCCAGTAGGTCGCTCCCAGGCTTCGACTCTCTCGATATTTCCTCGCTGTCCAGTACTTTTATTCGGACTGTTTCTTCAGTTTCAGTGTTTTGACCCGTCTATCTTCATATAAACTTCCTGTTTGACCTTTCCTCGTTGGTTCCACTGAGCACTCTCCGTATCTTTGAAGAAAGAAGGATTCCGATCAGTTTTCAAATTCTGCTTTGCTTCAGATTTTTGTTATAATCTGAATTTAATTGCCTTCCGAGTTGAGAAATTGGTTCAATCTTCAACGCGTGTGCTTGAGTTTTATCGGATTTGACGTTAAATCCAAGCTTGAGATTTTCTTCGGGTCTGGTTCACTGCATAAATATATGGAGACTGAGAGCACTAACGGAAATTTGCCATTACCACATCTTCCTTCGCAGAATTATGGAATTACGAAATCTATATTCTCGCGGATCGTCCCGGATCCGAGGTATGTTGTTCCTGGGGAGTTTCTACGCCCACTCACCTTTGGGTTTAGCCAAACGAGAGGCAAGACTAAGGTTAAAGGCTCCGTCCGAGAACTTTGCTTCAAGTCGGCAGCTACAAGCTGATTACAGTTTCTACAATCTCGTCAGAGTTACAAAATTTGTGTTGACTTCAAAAATAAAAGTCTACATTGGGCATCGGTAACTTACGGTGTTTTCATGTGCTCAGAATGTTCCTGCAAACACTAAGGCTTAGGTATACATATCTCGTTCGTTCAATCTGCTAACATGGACTCGTGGTCAGACATCCAGATCAAGAAAATAGAATCATGTACAAACGATAAGCTCAACTCTTTTTTGACACAATATGGTATTCCCAAATAAATTGATATCGCTACTAAGTATAACACTACTGCTGCGAGTATTTACTGTGATCGTATGCAAGCTCTCATTGAGGGTCGTGTATGTAAGAATCCACCATTTGTGAAGGAATCTGTC